TCTGCCAGCTCTCGGACCTGCCAGCTCAGGCCAGCACCACCTCCACCTGTGCTCCCTGCTCTCTGCTCCCTGCCCCCTTTCGTCCTACCTGACTTACTCCCTGTGACCACTTGATGTTTCAAAATGAACATCATGTATAAAATCTACCAACAGCTCCCCCGAGACAGGAGAGCAAAGTCTCCTGGGCACAGTGTGGACACTCTACTCATCAGGCCTGTTTCTTCTCCTGGTTGCATCTCACATCACACCACCCCGTCGGGCACAGGAGCCCAGATGTCAGCATTAACCTCCCTGGTTGGAAGACTGTTAGGGGCTTCTAATGAGACTGAGCTCTGAATGCGGGAAATGTAATAAAATACAGACTTTCGTCACTTACAATGTATCCATATTTATTAATTGTAACAATTCTGTAAAATAAATAGAAAGAGAGGAGAAACTAAGAATCAAATAAAATAAACCTATTGCATCAAATAAGATAACTAGAGAAAGTGGGTGATTCCCTCGTAAAACTTCACATTAATAAAATGGACCCTGAAATGAGGAAACTACAAACTGATAAACTACCCCTCCAGGCAGCTCCTCCCCCTGCTGACTGTCCTCATTGTTCTGGGTTTTCCCTCTCCTGGGAGAGGAAGGAATAGGGACAGAGTTGTTCGCAGCTCCCCTAAGATCTGTCCCCAGTAAATGCCCACATCCCCCCACCGCCCCACCCCTGTTGTGAGGACACTGTGGGAAGGGAGTCTCAGACGACGACTGAGTCTAGTGTGTCACCTAAGACCATTGGATTGCAGGAGACTGGACACACTTACTGAAACAAAGTACGTTAATAATTTTTCAGTTGCAGAAATAAATGCACACATGCAGTCTAAGAGGGGGCTTGGACTAGGCGGCTGCAGGTCCTGACACTCACAGTGGGACCAGGTCCCTCACCAGCCCTCTCCCGACAGGCGCTGCTCCTGCTGCGAGCTGACCTATGGAGAGCAAACGCAGGAGGCCTCCAGCCAACAGCCATGGAGAAGCTGAGGTCCTCAAACAAACATCCCCTGACACTAGCCACAGGAACAAGCCTGGGAGCAGACCCTCCTGCTGTGTGAGGAGCAGCTCTGTCCCTGCAAATTCATAGGCTGGAACCTGTGCCCATGTGGTGCATTAGGGAGCAGGGCTGTTGGGAGGACATTCATCCGCGAAGGTGAAGGAACAAAATCAGTGCCCAGAGATACCGGGAAAACTCCCTCGTGGAGGGCACCTACCTGGAGCAGATGCACGGGAGCCCAGCAGACGGGTCGGGGTGATCACTTCTCCACCAACACGCCTGTCGTTCCGTCACTGTGTGGCCTCAACAGTCCCGAGGGGCAGGAAAGAACGTGACGCCTGCTCGGCCCCAGGACAGAGCCTGAGGCCACAGGGAGGGTGTGAGGGGCCCTCACCCTCATCCCTTCCACCTTCACCACACACACAGCAACCACACCTGGATTTTTCCAAACTTTTACTTCTTCCAAGCTGCCCCTGAGGAGGACTGTCCATCCCCCTGTATAAAAATACAGACTTTTGTTAAGAAAAGAAAACTGTTGCCTTCTGTCATGTGAGGTTAGAGGGAAAAGGTCAAGCTGGGAACAGACTCAGACACGGACTCTGCTGGTGCCGTGGTCCTGGCCTTCCAGCCTGAGCCTGTGATGGAAATTCCTGTGGATGAGCCCCCAGGTCTGCAGGCAGCTGCAGCCACGTCTTGGGGACTGGGGGACTGGAATCCACCCCAGGCTAACTGCTTTCTGCACTTCTCGGTTCCCCACAAAAGCTCACATTGGGACCTTTAAAAGGTGGAGCCTCAGGTCATGAAGGTAGAGTCAGAGCCTCAAAATCTGAAGTCCTGATCCTGATCCTCAGACCCAAATGGCCACAGACCCCAACACCTGACCCTGCTCCGACCCTGACCCCAAACCCCAGTCCTAAACCCTGGCCCTAGCCCTTGGCCCTGACCCAAAACCAACCCCAAACCCTCAACCCTCACCCCCTTTGCTGCCGGTAAGATGTGTCACCAGTACCCAATTATCTTTCAACATTTCACAACATGGAAAAATTGTGCCAAAAATCTAACCACAGATACTCTCATATACCAAATTTAAGCAATAAAACAAAGTGTGAATGAAGACACATTCTAAGGAAGAAAATAAAGTTTATTGTTTAGGTTTTGGGGGGGTGGGATGTAGTTAAGACTTTCTATCCCACAGATGAAACAGAAACAATGCTAAGAAGGCTAAAATGTCTTCACTACCTTTATTGATATCTGGTAGTTATTCGGGCACATCAGTTCCTTTAAATCTGTTTCAAATTCTTACATGAATCCCTTGGAAGTTCCAGACCAGCAAAAGCATTTCACACACACAGTTGACTTTTACATTACACACTTAATATACATTTGATCTCTGTTCTGTACATCTCTATGGCTTTACTACTTTCAGGACAAAAGTAGTAAAATACGGATAAAAATACAGATGACTCTGAACACAGAAGCCACGGCCATCCAGACTGTGGCTCCAACACAGACCGCGCTGGACACACCTGTTTGGAAACTGCAGTCACACTGACCCTGTGACGCGGGGCCAGGCCACCTCCTCACAGTTCTCCTTCCCGCTGACAGAGAGACACCCAGCTAGTTCACATGTGTTGTATCTTCCTATTTTTAACCAAATTCTGGTTTTAAAATGACAACTGAGAACATGTAATTCAAACTGTTAGGCAAGGTTTAACGCATATATGGGAAAATCATGTCTTACGCATTGCCTTTTCATAAGGCAGACACGGTTTAAAATAAATAAAATCCATTTACAATCATGGGGGGGGGGATTTAGTCAGGAACATAATACAACAGATTGACAGATGTCCTTTGTTCAGTAGTATGTCCGGATATATCCACAGATCGCAGAGGCCGCTACAGATCGATTAGAATAACGCCCACCATGCAGTGTAGCACACACCACGCTCCTCTCTCTGCAGGATGCCGCCTGCCTCGTTAGGGGAAGTACCACAACCAGGACGACCCTCTTTACAACAGCTTGAAGTTACAAATCGAGGACGAGATACATTTTCCTGCTACACATGCCCACAGCATCCGGTGACAAGGATGATTCAGTGACTACAAACAGCAACAAGGTAACAAAATATCCGGGCTGTCATCAGTTAACTGGTTGAAACCACAGAGACACTGAACCTCAGCAAAACCCAAGAGGCTAAGGGATAAAACTAATCCTAACATCTGAGTAATTCGACACCAGCACTCTGAGCTTGGGCTTACTGTTAACATTTAATACTAGTCTTTTTTTTTTGGTAAAAAATAAATTTGGGAAAAAAAACAATGTTTCAGAATAACAGGTGTAACTTCAAAACATTTCTGCCACCACCAAGCCCCTTTCCTTCTGGACCAGACCCCAATGGGACAGGAAGCTCCTGCCACAGGAGCCCAGACGGCTCCCTGAAGCTGAAACCGCTGTCACAGTGCAGCCAGCAAAACACATGCGTTTGTTCTTGAGAAAATGTACAAAACTAACGAATCTTTTTCTGCAGAATTACAAAAGATAAAATCTATGAATCAGTGCTCTAATGTGATTATAGAAAATACCAACTGAAGTTAAGATGAAAAGCACAGGGCGCCTCCAAGAGCCCTGAGTCCAGCCCAGCCTGAGTCCCTCCCCCCACCTGCTGAGGACCAACAGGTCAGTCCTCGGACACCCACAGTCCCACTGATAAACCACAATGATCCCCACGTAGAACTTATGTGGTTTATTACCTGCACACAACACTTGTTTTCTTCTTCAGGATAATCTTCCAAGGATTACTAGACATTGCTTCTTTTATTTTTTATTGATTGACTGATTGATTTGTTGTTCCACTTATTTATACATTCATTGGTTGATTCTCGTATGTGCCTTCACCAGAGATTGAACCCCAAACCTTGGAGTCTTGGGCTGACATTCTAGCCAACAGTGCTACCCATACAGGGTGACATTAGTTCTTTTAAATGTAATCAAAGGTATCAGGGAAAAAATCCCTTGGAATTCTTTTGGAACTCCTAAGAGATATCTCGCAATTTTACACTTTTGTTCCTCCTTCCCAACAGGACTTTTTTTTTAAAAACCTACACTGACAACTCCCATAAGAGTGACTTCCATTACTTACAATAAGGGAGGCTTTTCAAAAAAAGTCCCCTCTTTAAAACAACAAGCTTTAGTGAAAGTCAGGACCAGGAGTTAATAACATAACATTCAAACCTGGACATGGGTGTGTCACACCCAGAAAAAACTCGCAGGTTCATGAACTTGTGCTTCCCGCTCACATTCTATCACCTGGACCAGTTTCACTGCTACGCAGACGCCTCTACCTGTGTCACAGGAACTGGCAGTAAACTCTTCTCTGGGACACTCACTCTTTCAAGAAAACATTCTCCCCTGCACTTACGTTTGTCAGATTATATTTAAAGAAATCTACCATTTAATGAAAATTCTACCAGATCATGGAGATCAAACTGGAAGAAGAAACGTGCGGACGGGCGCCCTCTGCTGGCCGCAGGCTGCGCCGCCCGCCCTCACGTGTGCCTGTAGTAGAGCAGGTGGTACCTCAGGGGTCAGGCAGGGGCAGACTCAGGACCTTCTCCCTCAGGAAGTTCACAGGGGGCTCTGGCTTCTCTCAGCTGGGCTCTGCCCCTCCTCTTCCTGCTCCTCCTCTTCTAAACCTTCACAGCTGTTGTCCTCTGACAGGTTGGAAATCTGACTGGCAAAACCTCTTTGTCCAACCAGATGATGGTTTCCATTTGACGGCAGTGAACTCTCCTTCCCTTAAACGTGGGAGTGGTCTTCAGTCCGTCCCATTTCTGCTCAATGCTTCCTGGTGAATGACCTTCTTCATGGTGCCCCGGATGGCGATGCAGCCAAGTCCTGGAGGCCTCGGACGGCCAGGGGGGCTGTGGGGCGAAGGACAGGATCAGTGTCTGTGACAGCACAGGCCTAAGCAACCAAAAACTGTGTCTTGACAACACAGCCCAGGACGGGAGCTCATTGCAGAAGGCTCTCTAAGCACATCACCCTGAGCTCTGACAGGGAAGGGAAGCTCCCTGCTGCTGGTGACTCGGCAGCGACAGCCTGGCTCCTCTTCTCCCGTCGTCACCTGGCTCCTCACTCTGGTCCCTGTGTCCACGCACAGTCCTTCCGTCCAGCGCATCCTGCACTCCCCTGGCCACTTCACTGTTTCCAACATGCTGTACGGGATGGATGTTTCCTTTCTGTGAAAGTAAAGTGGATCACAGCATCGTAAAGAACAAAACTGCACAGCACACCCAAGAGAAGTAAAACCTGGCGACTACAACTCTGTTTAATGCAGGCCCTGCACACGAGGACGTGAGGGATTCTCTCACAGGGCAAGGAACTAGGGGGTCAAGTGTTTCATTCATTAAACTCAGCATCAGCATCTCTTTTCCCCTCCAGTACGTAAGTACTCCAAAAATCACAACCCACAGTAGGGTGCTCTCACACTGTAACATTTATTTCCCAAATTGGAGAGATCTGTGCAGAATCTCAGCAAATGCCCACTGGTCCGGGGGAGCCCTGGAAACTCCAGTGATCCCAAGCTCTCTGTACCTTCTCTACATTGTCAGCACCAACTCTTCTGTCTGCTCACTGTCCTCCTCCAGGAAGGGCTCCAGGGCTCATCCTGCTACTCCACACGCTGCTGCTCCTAAGGCAGCTGGAAGGAGTCCTGCACAGGCCACCAGACCTCCCCCTGCACAGGGGCCACATGGGGAGGAGCCTGCTCCCGGCAGCCTGAGTCCCTTGCTGGCTGCCCCCCGCCCAGCCCCAGTGGCCTTTCCTAAGGCTGTGATTCCCACCCTCTCTCCTCCCCTGTCTATTCCTGGGTCTGACACCTACTCTGTGGCTTTGATGAAACTGGCCAGCAGCACCCAGGGCTCTAACCCAGCCCTGACCAGGGTCCAGAGCCTCCCACAAGCCCACGTCTACAACATCCTCTGACACCTTCCTCAGACAGGCCCCAGGGCCTCCAGGAGTCCTTTCCCGAACAGCCCAGGGTCTGACTTCCCATCCTCATCTCCAGACTGGAAAATTCAGTTTGCCTCCTAACTGGTTCCTGCTGCGCTATCCCTGGATGCCCACTGTCAGCCGACCCCGTCTACTCGACCTCACTGTCTGCGCCAATGTGACATTACTCATCTACTGTTGTTCACTTCATGAGCCTAAACAGCATCACAGGATTATTTACCATCCAACACACTGGGAAGCCATGGCCTCAAACACCACATCCCAGGGTGCCCTCCAGGGGCCATGACTCCCATCCAGGCACGATCAACCTCCCAGACATCTGACCGTCCCCTTACCTTCCCTGACCGCAGTCAGCATCTGCTCAGTTCTTCTGTGGGATTCTCGGGGAGCACATTCAGTGCACACCTCCACCTGGGCAGAGCGTGATCCTGAGTGCAAACACACCACCTCACATCAGAAACACCGGGCAGCTCCCTGTGGTCCGTGCAGCAAACTCCAGCCTACCCTGTGGACTGTGAGGGTCTCCCACATGCTGCCTCTGAGCACCTGGAAGTCCACACACCACAGTCCCAGCTCAGATCCTTCCCTCCCTCCCTCTCTCTCCTCAGGGAATTCCTCTCAAACATCTCACTCTCTACAAACTTGATGCCTCGCAGTCCCTTCTACTTTCCACAGATGCTCATGATCACAGTTCATCACGTTTCAATGACCATGTCAGCCTCACGTGACCTGCACTTAGCAGAAACCGAGAATGCTGTCACTGTTTCATAAATGATCCCTCTCCTACATTAAAATACAACCCAGAAGTAATTCACTAACGTATTTTCTTTCAGTGGTGAGATTAAGGTGACTTGTTTTCCTTTTTTATTTTTTAATTTTCTGAATTATCAGAAAGTACAGTGCATGTTGAATGGTTTTATTTTAAATGAAGACTTTTGCAATTCTCCTTGCTGTGTATATTTTTATTGAAATTAGGAAACTACATTTACAAGAATGCTTCACTGGGTCTACACCCTGACAGAGTGAAAGGCACAGGCCTGGCCCAGGAAGGCCCCACTGCAGACCTGCCCACCCCACCCCCACAGGCAAGTGGAGTGGCCACCAGCTGCTCCAGAGCAGGGGGATCTGGGATCTGCAGGAGCATCATGGCCAGAGGTGCCCAGGACATATTCTCCACAAGGCAGATTGACTACCTTCTAAGTGGCTCTTCTGCTTCCCATGGCATCACCAGTGCAGCTCTCTGCAGATTTTAAAACCAGGCTAAAATAACCTGCAATGTACTAAAAATAAATTTTAATTTTTTTAAAATAATTTTATTGATTTTTTAGAGAAAGAGGAAGGGGGAGAGAGAGCAATGAGATAAATAACTTCAATGAGAGAGAGAACCATCCCTCAGCTGCCTCCTGCATGCCCCCTACTGGGGATCAAGCCCGCAACCTGGGAATCAAACCCAGACCTCTCATTCTGTGGGACATCACTCAATACACTGAGCCGCACCAGCTGGGCAGATTATAATTTTTAAATTGCCTAAAAATCACTTGGAAAAGTTTATGGCTACAGTAGGTTGAAATGCTTTTTAAGACATTAAAAGACCTGAGCAGCGAAGTCAGGGTCCCCGTACTCATGTAACTGGATGATTCTCAACTTCCTCGACTCCAAGCGACGCGGCTGGACCAGAGGCAAGAAGAAGACAGCCAGGATCTTCTTGGTTTCCCAAGCTAAAGGGCCCTTAGGTTAAATTTAAACAATTATTCCTTCATTAGGTTAAATTTAAACAATTATTCCTTCATATAGTCTACAAACTTAAATTTCAACAATTATTCCTTCATATAGTCTACAAACTCACTGACACAGGAATTATGAAATAACCTGACAGTTCAGGCCCCTAGAAGGAACGAAATGAATAAGTAACTCATTAATTATGTGAGTATGTTTAAACTGAACATATTTAAGCTTCTAAACTTAACTTAAGTTCTGTTTACAGATGTGTATGACAGAGGCAGACATTGAAGGACCATGGGAGGAAACACTCAGATGAGAAGTGAGGGTCTGACAAGACACCTGCCACGTGGGGGAGAGTAGGGAACACTCTCAAGTGATGAACAACAAGACAAACCCACCAGAATGCATCCTGGCCAGTCAGACACCCTGACAGAAGGTGGGAACTCACAACCCACAGCAACAAAAGCTACAGTGACACAATAATGGCTACTTCCAGGGGGATCAAGAATTATTGTCAGTCTGGGGAGATGCACACAAACACGTTCCAATGCGATTCCCAGTGGCCCTGTTGGAGGGCAGCTGGAGTCAGTTGGATAACACGCTGCAATGTAGGTCTCACTGGAGAGAACAAAGACTATGAAGAGCCCTGGCCAGTTTGGCTCAGCGGTTAGAGCATCGGCCTGCGGTCCAGAGAGACCCGGGTTCGGTTCCCGCTAAGGGTACGTACTTCGGTTGCAGTTTGTCCCCGGCCCTGGTTGGTCGTGCGGGTGGCAGCCACTCGATGTGTCCCTTCACGTCGATGTTTCTCACTCTCTCTCCCTTCCTCTCTCTCCCTCCCACTCTATCTGTACAAAAAATGGAAAAATATCCTCGGGTGAGGATAAAAAAAAAAAAAAAAAAGACTATGAAGAGAATCAGGAGCGAGTGCAGAGAACACAGAAAAAGCAGAGAATCAGAAAATAGAGTAAAGAACACAGAATACAAAGAGAATCAGGAGACAGCAGAGAGAACTCAAGAAAGGAAAAAAACAAAGAACACAGAAAATGAAAAGAATCAGCAAACAAGAGATAGAATGCAGAAAACAGAGCAAATCGGAAGACAGGAGAGAGCAGATAAAAGAGAGAATCAGGAGAGAGAGGAGAGAACACAGAAAACTGAGAAAATGCAGAAAGTCCGAACATAGAACTGAGAATGGAGAAAACAAAAAGAATCTAAAGAAACAGGAAAAAATGCAAAAAACGTTGAGAATCCAGAAATATTCTATTTTGCAAATAGATGAAAGAATTAAGAGAGAAAGCAGACAATGCAGAAAAAAAGGAGATAAAACAGATAGCAGAAAACAGGGAGAATCTGGGGTGAATGTAGAAAACAGAGAAAACAGAGAAAATGAAGAAACAGAGCAGAGAACGGAGAGATTCAGGAGACAGAGGAGAGAATGCATAAAATAGAGAAAATCAAGAAGTACAGTAAAGAACACAGAAAGAAAAAGATTCAGTACAGAAGGAGGAGAATGCAGAAAACAGAGAATCAGGACATAGAGGAGAAAAGGCAGAAATCAGAGACAATCAGGAGAAAAAAGAAAAGGTAAAAAATAATGAGAATCAGGAGAAAGAGGAAAGAATGCAGAAAGAGAACAGAGGAAAAAAACAGACAAAATAAGAAGAGAGAAGAAAGAATGCAGAAAAAAAGAGAATCGGGGGAAACAGGAGAGAACGCAGTAAACAGGGAGAATCGGCAGAGTAGAGATAGAAAACAGAAATTCACAAGAGAGAGAAGAAAATGAAGAAAGCAAATACAATAAAGAGATAGTGGAGAAAACGCAGAAAACTGAGAGATTCAGGAGAGAGCAGAGAGAATTCACAAAATACAGAGAATCAGGAGATAACGTAGAAGACAAAGAAAATCAGCGGAGAGAGCAGAAAACAGAGAATTGAGAGATAGAGTAGAGAACGCCAAAAACGGAGAGTCAGGAGAGAGAGGAGGGAACACAGAACACATAGAGAATCGGGAGAGACAACACAGAATGCAGAAAATGGAGAGGAGAAAATGCAGAAAACAAAGAGATTTAGAAGAGAATTGAGAGAATGCGGAAAACGGAGAAATTCAAGAGATAGACAAGTGAACAGGAAAAAACGGAGAAAATCAAGGATTCCAAAATGGCAACAGGGTGAATGGAAGCTACACAGACCATCTCCAAGGACCAAACTGGAATTACAACAAAAATAAAGACGAATTATTAGAAAAAAGCAACAGAATAGCATCTTATGAGGACCACATAACACTGAATTAATCCTGATAGGATTGCGGAGGCACGAGAGGGGGCTGGGAGAGCCAAACAGAGCACTAAAATAGCTACAGCCACTCACCTTGGGCTCCAGCAGGGGGAGGGCAGACTGGACTGGAACTATGTGAGGACACTCAGGATTTGGAGGGCGCTCAGAGCTTTTGCTGAGTTTGGCCACGCAGAACGGTGGCCATCTTGCACTTTCCCAGGGCTCTGGGGAAAGGCAGCGGCCCCTCCCTCGGAATCAACCCCATCCAGTGGGTCACTGAAATACAAATTGAGGCTCATTAACAACCGGCATCTGCCCCACCCTTAGGAAATTCTCTTATGCAGAACACCTAAGGGAGTTTTTCATTCAACTGAGAAGCCAAGGCTCTTCAAGAAACAGCAACTAATAGCCTCCAGGCAAAAAAGTTAAAGGATAAATGAACCATTCCAGGAAAGTATACTGGTGTTTAATGTGGGTCCTCCCACACTCATCCAAACCCAGTAAAGAAAGCCAAAAACAGCAGAACACCAACACCCACAAGGAAAATTTGCCAGGCTCCAAAACCCACTGAGATAGCCAAAATGGTGAAACAAAAAAACAAATCCCAAATAAAAAAACAAGAGACCTCTACCAAAGATGAGATAAATGAAATGCAGTTGAGCAAGTTAACAGAGCCAGAATTCAGAGCCATGATCTTGAGGAAGTTCAACAGTATGAGTAAGGACATCAACACCATAAGTAAAGACATAGAAACATTGAAAATCAACAAATTGGAAAATAAAACCACCAAGAAGAAATAAAGAATGACATAGCAGAAATAGAGAACACATTGGAAGGACTAAAGAGCAGAGCAGAGGAAGAAGCTGAGGACTGGATCAGTGAGTTAGAAAACAGGGTAGAAACAAATCAACCAATCAGAAAACCAAAAGGTAAAATTAATTTAAAAACAGGAAGACAGCTTAAGAGATCTGTGGGACAACAGAAAATGTAATAATATTTGCATCCCGGATTGAGTTCCCGCTAAGGGCATGTAACTCAGTTGCAGTTTGTCCCTGGCCCTGGTTGGGTCATGCAGGTGGCAACCACTCGATGTGTCCCTTTCACGTCGATGTTTCTCTCTCTCTTCCTCCTACTCTATCTGAACAAAAAAGGATAAATAAATGTCCTCGGGTGAGGATAAAAAAGAAAATGAGCATGTGTTAGAGAATATATTTGAAGATAATACTGACAGAAAACTTCCCTAATTTGGTGAAGGAAGAAGGCTTTCAAGTTCAAGAAGCACAGAGAGCCCCAAGTAAGAAGAACCCAAACAGGCCCACACCAAGACACATAGCTAATCAAAATGCCAAAAATTAAAGCCAAAAATTAAAGACAAAGAGAGAATCCTAAAGGCAGCAAGAGAGAAGCAACAGGTTACCTACAAAGAAACCCCCATAAGGCTATCAGCTGACTTCTCAATAGAAACACTACAGGCCAGAAGGCAATGGCATGAAGTAATCAAGGTCATGAAAAACAAGGATCTGAATCCAAAAAAAGCTAAGGGAACACATTAACAACAAACCATCACTGCAAGAAATGTTATAAAGGACTGCTCTAATTAGTAGAAGAAATAGGAAGAAAAATATAACCACACTAAACAAAAATGGCAATAAATAAGTACATATGAATAATCACTTTAAATGTAAATGGATTAAATGATTCAATAAAAAGACACAAAGTAGCTGATTGAATAAGAAAGCATGATATATATATATATATATATATATATATATATATATATATAGTTTACAAGAGACCCACCTCACAACAAAAGACTCACATAGGTTGAAAGTGAAGGGATGGAAAAAAAATCCAGCAAACAAAAAGAAGAAAAAAAAGCTTGGAGTAGCAATACTCATATCTGATAAAATAGATTTCAGAATGAAGGCCATAACTAGAGACAAAGAAGGCAACTACATAACATTGAAAGCATCTATCCAGCAGGAAGATATAACCTTGGTAAACATATCTTCAATGCCCCACTGACATCACTGGATAGATCCTCTATACAAAAAATTAACAAGGATAAACAAGGACTCTAAATGAAGCGCTAGATCAAATGTATTTAATAGATGTCTACAGAGAATTACACCCCAAAACTGCAGAATTCACATTCTCAAGTGCACATGGGACATTCTCAAAGACAGACCACATGTTAGGACACAAACTAAGTCTCTACAAGTTCAGGAAGATTGAAATCATATCAAGCATCTTCTCAGATCACAATGGCATGCAACTAGAAATCAACTGCAACAAGAACATGCAAAGATATTTGAACACGTGGAAGATAAATAGCATGTTATTGGACAATGAACGGGTTACCGAGGAGAGGAAGAAATTAAAAACTTCCTGGAAACCAATGAAAATGAACACACAACAACACTAAAACTATGGGATACAGCGAAAGCAGTTCTAAGAGGGAAGTTCATAGCACTACAGGCCTACATCAAGAAACAAGAAAAATGTCTAATAGATTATCTAACCTCACACCCTTAAAGAACTAGAAAGCAAACAAAAAGAAAACCTCAGAGCAAGTAGAAGGAAAGAAATAGTAAAGATTAGAGTAGAAATAAATGACGCAGAGACCAAAAAGCAATTCAAAGGATCAATGAAACAAAGAGCTGGTTCTTTGAAAAGATAAACAAGATTGATGGAC